ATCCCCTTTTCCACCCCCCAAATCCCCTTTTCCACCCCCCAAATCCCCTTTTCCTCCCCCCAAACCCCCTTTTCCTCCCCCCAAATCCCCTTTTCCCCCCCCCAATCCCCTTTTTCACCCCCAAATCCCCTTTTTCACTCCCCAAATCCCGTTTTTCACCCCCCAAATCCCCTTTTTCACCCCCAAATCCCCTTTTTCCCCCCCACGCAATCCCAGGAGGAGCAGAAGCGCCTGGAGGGCGTGGGATCTGCCCCCCAAATCCCCTTTTCCTCCCCCCAAATCCCCTTTTCCACCCCCCAAATCCCCTTTTTCCTCCCCCAAATCCCCTTTTTCTCCCCCCAAACCCCCTTTTCCTCCCCCCAAACCCCCTTTTCCTCCCCCCAAATCCCCATTTTCAGCCCCCCCATCCCCTTTTTCACCCCCAAATCCCCTTTTTCACTCCCCAAATCCCCTTTTTCACCCCCAAATCCCCTTTTCCTCCCCCCAAATCCCCTTTTCCTCCCCCCAAACCCCCTTTTTTCCCCCCCAAATTCCCTTTTTCTCCCCCCAAATCCCGTTTTTCACCCCCCAAATCCCCTTTTTCACCCCCAAATCCCCTTTTTCCCCCCCACGCAATCCCTGGAGGAGCAGAAGCGCCTGGAGGGCGTGGGATCTGCCCCCCAAATCCCCTTTTTCCCCCCCAGGCAATCCCTGGAGGATGAGCTGACGGAGGAGGTGGAGTTGGCCAAGCGCTGCATTGAGGAGATCAACGAGGAGCTGAACCACCGGGTGATGGAGCAGCTCGGGGACGCTCACATCCACCGCCAAGGCCGAGATCATGGACAGCATCCAGCGCCTCTACCCCGGCTCCGTGGTGAGGGGAGCCCCAAAACTGACCCAAAACTGCCCAAAAACTGCGCCAAAACCCCCTCAGAAACTGCACCAAAACTGCACCAGAAACTGTGCCAAGACTGCCCCATAAACTGCACCAAAACCCTGTCAGAAACTGCACCGAAACTGCCCCAGAAACTGCACCAAAACCCTGTCAGAAACTGTGTCAAAACCCTGTCAGAAACTGCACCAAAACCCCCTCAGAAACTGCCCAAAATTGCACCAAAACCCTGTCAGAAACTGCACCAAAACTGCCCCAGAAACTGCTCAAAAGTGCACCAAAACCCCCTCAGAAACTGCACTAAAACTGGCCCAAAAACTGCCCCAAAATCCCAAATGTGGGCCCCAAAAACTGCCCCAAAACCCCAAATGTGGGCCCCAAAAACTGCCCCAAAACCCCAAATGTGGGCCCCAAAAACTGCCCCAAAACCCGCGTCACTGACCCCATAACTGACCCCACAAAAACCCCACACCCGCAGTCTGGCGGCTGATCGACCTGTGCCAGCCCACGGAGAAGAACCCGATCCCATTTCCGATATCCCTGACCCATAACTGCAGTCCCTGACCCCATAACTGCTGTGCCCCATGTTCCTGACCCCATAACTGCAGTCCCTGACCCCATAACTGCTGTGCCCCATGTTCCTGACCCCATAACTGCAGTCCCTGACCCCATAACTGCAATCCCTGACCCCATAACCGCTGTGCCCCATGTCCCTGACCCCATAACTGCAATCCCTGACCCCATAACTGCAGTCCCTGACCCCATAACTGCTGTGCCCCATGTCCCTGACCCCATAACTGTGTGCCCCATGTCCCTGACCCCAAACCCTATATGTGACCCCATAAAACCCCTATAACCGCAGTATGGGGGCTGATTGACCTGTGCCTTGGGACCCCCAAATCCGGGCCTTGGGACCCCCCAAACCCAGGCCTTGGGACCCCCAAACCCGGGCCTTGGGACCCCCAAATCCGGGCCTTGGGACCCCCCCCAAACCCGGGCCTTGGGACCCCCCCCAAACCCAGGCCTTGGGACCCCCCCCAAACCCGGGCCTTGGGACCCCCCCCGGGCCTTGGGACCCCCCCCAAACCCGGGCCTTGGGACCCCCAAACCCGGGCCTTGGGACCCCCAAATCCGGGCCTTGGGACCCCCAAACCCGGGCCTTGGGACCCCCCCAAATCCGGGCCTTGGGACCCCCCCAAACCCGGGCCTTGGGACCCCCAAACCCGGGCCTTGGGACCCCCAAATCCGGGCCTTGGGACCCCCCAAACCCGGGCCTTGGGACCCCCAAATCCGGGCCTTGGGACCCCCAAACCCGGGCCTTGGGACCCCCAAATCCGGGCCTTGGGACCCCCAAACCCGGGCCTTGGGACCCCCCCAAACCCGGGCCTTGGGACCCCCAAATCCGGGCCTTGGGACCCCCAAACCCGGGCCTTGGGACCCCAAATCCGGGCCTTGGGACCCCCAAACCCGGGCCTTGGGACCCCCCAAACCCGGGCCTTGGGACCCCCCAAACCCGGGCCTTGGGACCCCCCAAACCTGGGCCTTGGGACCCCCAAATCCGGGCCTTGGGACCCCCAAACCCGGGCCTTGGGACCCCCAAACCCGGGCCTTGGGACCCCCCCCAAACCCGGGCCTTGGGACCCCCAAACCCGGGCCTTGGGACCCCCCAAACCCGGGACTCCCATGGGTGGGGGTCCCCACAGCCCCACCCCCACCCCCCCGCAGCCCCCCCTTGGAGGCGGGGAGGATTTGGGGGGGCTCTGAGGGTGAGGCAGGTGAGACCCCCCCCTGGGGAGACCCCAAAATGGGGGGAGGGGGTCCAGCCTCATAGTGGGGGGGGGTCACTGGGATGTTTTGGGGGGCTCCAGCTCCACATGGGGGGCGGGGGGGGGCTGCTACCCCAGAACTGAGGAGGGGTCGGCCCGGGGGGGGTCCCGGGGGGGTCCCTGGGGCTGGGGGCGCTGCCCTAAATCCGGGGAGGGTTTTGGGGGGCTCTGTCACCCCCACGGTGACATTTGGGGGTTCCCGCTTCGCTTTCGGCCGTTTCTGGGGGAGCTCTGCGGGTGTGGGCGGCGATAAAGAGAAATTAATAAATTAATAACTTAATAAATAAATAAATAACGCCCCTAACGGTTCCAAACTCGGCTTTTTTTGGTGTCTTTTATTTTAATTTTTTTTTTTTTTTTTGGTTTTCCCGCCACGCTCAGAGCGCGGGATGGGGGTGGGGGGGGGTCCCACAAACCCCTGAGCCCCGAAATGAGGAGGGGGCGCGGGGGCGTTTGGGGGTCCCGGGGCCGTTTGGGGGTCCCGGGGCCGTTTGGGGTCCCGGGGCCGTTTGGGGGTCCCGGGGCCGTTTGGGGGTCCCGGGGCCGGTTTGGGGTCCCGGGGCGGTTTGGGGGTCCCGGGGCCGTTTGGGGGTCCCGGGGCCGTTTGGGGGTCCCGGGGCCGTTTGGGGGTCCCGGGGCCGTTTGGGGGTCCCGGGGCCGTTTCCCCCCCCCGCCCCGGGAGGAAGCGGCAGAGGGAAGGGCGGGGGCGGGGGGGGGCGGGGGGGGCGCGGCCACCGGAGCCGCCGCCGCCGCTCGGAACGGGGGGTCCGGCACGGCTGCGACCCCCCCCCACCCCCCCACGGACCCCCGGGACCCCCGGGTGGGGGTCGCACCCCCCAGACCCCCCCAGGACGGGGACACGGACAGGATAGGTAAAACTGGGGGGGGAGGGGGGTGGGTGTATGGGGGGGGTCCCAGGGGAAGGGTCTCACCCCCCCGGGGGTGGGGGGCGTTACTCGAGGGTCTCGTGTCACCCCCACCCCAAAATCGTGTCCCCACCCCCCCGGTGAACCCCCTGACCCCCCCCCCCCCATGACCCTCATGGCTTTTCCCCAGGGCCGCCGGTTTTTATTGGGGGGGGGTCCCGGGAGATTTGGGGACGTGCGGGTGCCCCCCCACCCCCCACCCCAATTCTCCCGCCCCCTCCCCCAATTCCTGCCCCCCTCCCCCAATTCCCGCCCCCCTCCCCCAATTCCTGCCCCCCCCGAGCCACCTGTACCTAAGGGGGGGGGGGTCACCCATCCTGCGCCCCCCGCCCGCACTAAGGGGGTGCCCGGAGATGGGGAGGGGGCTGGGGGGGTGCAGGGGGGCTGGGGGGATTTTGGGGGGGGGGAGGGGACGCCGCTTCCTTTTGGGGGGGGCCGGGCGGGGTCCGGAGCCGGAGAAGGGAAGTTGGGGGGGGCCGGACGCCCGAGTTCACGGCGGGGACAAGGTCAGGGGCGGGGGCCCGGCGGGGTGGGGGGATTTGGGGGGGGTCTCTGGGGCTGAGGGGACCCCCGGGTGGTGGGGGTCAGTGCGGGGGGGGTGGGGAGCTCTTGGGGGGCAGAATTTTGGGGGCCGGCGGCTGCCGACACTTCCTGCATGGCAGGAAACCGCCGGCGGCGGCGCGTCCGGGCCCCCCCAAACATCCCCCGCGCCCCCCCAAACATCCCCCGGGACCACCGCTGCCCCCTGGACCCCCCCCCGGACCCCCCAGAGACCCCCAGAGACCCCCGGGGGCAGCTGGGGACAGATGGGGACAGCCCGAGGGGGGAGCCGCGTGTCCGGGGGGCGGGGGGGGGTCCCAGCACCCCGAATTCTGCCCCCCCAACCCCCCCAGCAGAGTTTTGGGGTCCGGGCAGTGGGGAGGGGGTCTGGGGGTGTGTGGGGATGGAGGGGGGGCGCGGAGAAGGGGTGAGGAGCCCCCCCCGACCCCCGTGTCCCTCCCCAGGTGTCAGCGGCGCCCCCAGCCCAGCGGCCGGAGCCCCCCCGGTCCCCCCATTGAGAGGGGCGCGTGGGAAAAGGGGCGGGGCCTCCGGCAGGCGGGAATTCGCCGGCAGCCAATCAGGGCGCGGGGCCCGTTCCCACGTTCCCATTGATAAATCTCTGCCTGAGGGATCCCCGCTACAACCGGGGGGGAGGGGGGGGGCCGGGGGGGCGGAGACCCCCGGGGGGGACCCTGAGGATCCGGGAGGGGTCCTGGGGAGTCCCTGGGGGTCCAGAAGGGTCTCACAGGGTCCCTTGGGGGTCTCGGGGAGTGATTGAGGGGTCTTAGGGATTTTCGGTGTGTTTTTTTTGGGGGGGGGGGCCATGCAGTCCGATGACCTCTTCCTCCGCAAAATGCGGAGCCCCTTGTCCCGGCCGCCCCCCTCCGCCGCCCCCCCCGCGGCTGTGGGGGTCCCCTCCCCGCCCCCCTCCCCGGGGGGAGCCGCCCCCCCCCGGCAGCGCAGCAGCAGCGAGGCGGCCCCGGGGAGACCCCCGGAGGACGGGGGGGGGTCCCCGGCGGGGGGGTCCCCACGGAGCCGCACCCAAAGCCACGAGGAGGCGGCGGGGGGGGGGGCAGCCCCACGTCTCCCCGATTCCGCGACCCTCTGCTGCTGCTGGGGCTGGCGGCGGGCGGGGGGGACCCCGACTTCTTCCCGCGGCCTCCCTGGAGCCCCCTCCTCGCCCATTACGACGTTCAGAGCATCCTGTTCGATCCCAGCGAGCCCCCCCCGGGCCCCCCCGGCCTGATCTCGGGGGCTTCGGCCGCTCACCTGGAGCCCGAGGAGCCCCCCGGGTCCCCCCGCGGCGCCCCCGAGCCCGAGGCGCTGGTGCTGAGCTGCCCCCGCTTCTGCTGCGACACCGGCGGGGAGCGGGAACCGGGGTCCCCCCGGGGCCCCCCCGGGCCGGGGCAGCTCCCGAACGCGGCGGTGGCGGTGCTGGAGGAGCCCCCGGCGGGGGCGCGACCCCCGTACCCCATCGAGCACAGCGACGAGGGCGCCGACTATTACCGCAAGTACTTCTATGGGAAAGGTGAGTCTGGGGGGGGAAATAGGGGTCGGGGGGCGCGGGAGGGGGGCACGAGACTGGTACCCCGAGGGGCAGTGGGGAGGGGGCGTTTGGGGGGGGCTGTGGGGGTCCCGACTGCTCCTGACCCTCCCGGAGCCGGGGGGGTCTGGGATCAGTGGGATCAATGGGATCAATGGGATCCATGGGACGGGACAAGCCGGGATCAATGTCGGGGGTTTGGGGAGGGGTCTGGGGGGGCTGTGGGGGTTTGGGGAGGGGTCTGGGGGGCTGTGGGGATGCCGACCCTCCCCCCCCCCCAGAGCACCACAACCTGCTGGGTGAGGACCCCCGGCTGGGGCCCGTGGCCGTGTCCCTGCGGCGGGAGGAGAAGGACGGGCCGCGGCCGCAGGTGCTGCACAGGATCATCCTGCGGACCTGCCAGGTGGGGGCTGGGGGGCTGGGGGGGCTGGGGGGGGCTGGGGGGGCTGGGGGGGGCTGGGGGCTGGGGGGGATGGAACCTCGGGGTGGGGGCTGGGGGCTGGGAGGGGGGGAAAGAACCTCGGGGGGGGGGGCTGGGACCTCGGGGTGGGGGGCAGAAACCTGGGGGGGGGGCTGGAACCGGGGGGGGGGGGGGGTTGGAACCTGGGGGGGGGCAGAAACCTGGGGGGGGCAGGGACCTCGGGGGGGGGGGCAGGAACCTGGGGTGTGGGGCTGGAACCAGGGGTGGGGGGCTGGAACCTGAGGGGGAGGGCAGAAACCTTGGGGGAGGGGGGCAGGAACCTTGGGGGAGGGGGGCAGGAACCTGGGGGGGGGCAGGAACCTGGAGTGGGGGGCTGGAACCTGGAGGGGGGGAGGGGCAATCAGCGGGTTGGGGGTCCCTGAGTGGGGGGAACCTCAGGGCTCGGCGGGGCTGGGGGGGTTCAGGAGAGGCGAAATCAGCCAAAAGCCCCCTTGGGACCCCCCCCCGGCCCCGCAGCGGGCGCGGGGGTCCCATGGGTGCCCCTCCCCAGCTGCGGGCGCTGCGGGGGTCGGTGCTGGAGGAGGCGCTGCCCCCCGGCTGCCGCCCCCCCGGGCCCCGCGCCGCGCCCCCCCGCAAGCTGCTGGAGCTGCTCCTGCCCGGGCTGGAGCTCGGGGGGCTGCGCCTCGCCCCCCACCCCTCCGTGCAGGACTCCCTCCTGCGGCTGGACGAGCAGGGGGTGAGCGGGGACGGGGGGGGGAATGGGATTGGGATTGGGATTGGGATGGGATGGGATGGGATGGGATGGGATGGGATGGGATGGGATGGGATGGGATGGGATGGGATGGGATGGGATGGGATGGGATGGGATGGGATGGGATGGGATGGGATGGGAATGGAAATGGAAATGGAAATGGGATGGGACAGAAATGGGATTGGGATGGAAATGGGATCCATGGGATCCATGGGATGGGATGGGATGGAGTACCAGGATAATGGGATCAATGGGATGGGATGGGATAGAATACCGGGATCAATGGGATGGGATGAGATAGAATACTGGGGTAATGGGATCAATGGGATCAGTGGGATCAATGGGATCAATGGGATCGATGGGATCAATGGGATCAGTGGGATCAGTGGGACAGACCCAGCCGTGCCCCCCAGGTGAGCCGGCAGCGGAAGGTGGGGATCCTGTACTGCCGCGCCGGGCAGGGCTCTGGGATCAATGGGATCAATGGGATCAATGGGATCAATGGGATCAGTGGGATCAGTGGGATGGGATGGGATCAATAGGATCAATGGGATCAATGGGATCAGTGGGATCAGTGGGATCAATGGATCAATGGGATCAATGGGACGCCCCCCAGGTGAGCCGGCAGCGGAAGGTGGGGGTCCTGTACTGCCGCGCCGGGCAGGGCTCTGGGATCAATGGGATCAATGGGATCAGTGGGATCGATGGGATCAATGGGATCAGTGGGATCGATGGGATCAATGGGATCAGTGGGATCAATGGGATCCATGGGATCAATGGGATCCATGGGATCAATGGGATCAATGGGATCCATGGGACATCCCCCCAGGTGAGCCGGCAGTGGAAGGTGGGGGTCCTGTACTGCCGCGCCGGGCAGGGCTCTGGGATCAGTGGGATCAGTGGGATGAATGGGATCAATGGGATGGGATGGGATCAATGGGATCGATGGGATCGATAGGATCAATGGATCGATGGGATCAATGGGATCAGTGGGATCAGTGGGATCACTGGGATCAATGGGATCAATGGGATCAGTGGGATCAGTGGGATCACTGGGATCAATGGGATCAATGGGATCGATGGGATTCCCCCAGGTCAGTCGGCAGCGCAAGGTGGGGGTCCTGTACTGCCGCGCCGGGCAGGGCTCTGGGATCAGTGGGATCAATGGGATCAATGGGATCAATGGGATCAATGGGATGGGATGGGATCAATGGATCAATAGGATCGATAGGATCAATAGGATCAATGGGATCGATGGGATCAATGGGATCAATGGATCAATGGGATCAGTGGGATCTGGGATCAATGGGATCGATGGAATCAATGGGATCCATGGGATCAATGGGATCGATAGGATCAATGGATCAATAGGATCAATGGGGTGCCCCCCAGGTGAGCCGGCAGCGGAAGGTCGGGATCCTGTACTGCCGCGCCGGGCAGGGCTCTGGGATCAATGGGATCAGTGGGATCAGTGGGATCGATGGGATCAATGGGATGGGATGGGATCAATAGGATCAATAGGATCAATGGGATCGATGGGATGGGATGGGATCAATGGGATGGGATGGGATCAATAGGATCAATGGGATCGATGGCATTGCCCCCAGGTGAGCCGGCAGCGGAAGGTGGGGGTGCTGTACTGCCGCGCCGGGCAGGGCTCTGGGATCAATGGATCGATGGGATCGATGGGATGGGATGGGATCAATGAGATCGATGGGATCGATGGGATCGATGGGATCGATGGATCAATGGGATCAATGGGATCAATAGGATCGATGGGATCCATGGGACATGCCCCCAGGTGAGCCGGCAGCGGAAGGTGGGGGTCCTGTACTGCCGCGCCGGGCAGGGCTCCGAGGAGGAGATGTACAACAACGAACGGGCCGGACCCGCCTTCGAGCAGTTCCTGGCGCTGCTCGGGACCCGCGTCCGCCTGCGCGGCTTCGGCGGCTACCGGGCCCAGCTGGACACCCGCAGTGAGCAACGGGGCACCGGACACCGGGACAGCGGGGCATGGGGGGCAGCGGGGGGCAACGGGACACCGGGACATGGGGACATGGGGGGACACCGGGACATGGGGGGGCAGCAGGGCACCGGGGGATACCAGGGGATACCGGGACACGGGGGGGCAGCAGGGCATGGGGGGGCAACGGGGGCAGCGGGGCAGCGGGGCAACGGGACATGGGGACATGGGGGGACACCGGGACATGGGGGGATACCGGGGCACCGGGGAGGGCACTGGGGAGGGCACCGGGATACCACGGCACCGGGGGAGCACCGGGACGTGGGGGGGACATCGGGACGTGGGGGGACACCGGGACATGGGGGGCACGGGGGGATACCGGGACATGGGGACATGGGGGGACACGGCGACACCAGCATACATGGGGGGGATGGGGGGGACACCGGGACATGGGGACATGGGGACACCGGGATACATGGGGGGACACTGGGACATGGGGGGCACATGGGGACAGGGAGGACAGAGGGACACAGGGCCATGGCGGGGGAAGGGGGTCCCCGTTGGGTGGGGGGCTCACCCGTGCCCCCCCCAGCCGACTCCACGGGCACGCACTCGCTGTACGCCACGTACCACGGGCACGAGGTGATGTTCCACGTCAGCACCATGCTGCCCTTCACCCCCCGCAACCCCCAGCAGGTACCGGGGGGGGGTCCCGGGGGGGATTTGGGGTCCCCCCAGTGCTGCCCTTCACCCCCCGCAACCCCCAGCAGGTACCGGGGGGGTCCCGGGGGGGTCCCGGGGGGATTTGGGGTTCCTAGGGTGCCCCAGTGCTGCCCTTCACCCCCCGCAACCCCCAGCAGGTACCGGGGGGGGATTGGGGTCCCGGGGGGTCCCGGGGGGGGATTTGGGGTCCCCCCAGTGCTGCCCTTCACCCCCCGCAACCCCCAGCAGGTACCGGGGGGGGATTTGGGGTCCCGGGGAGGGGATTTGGGGTCCCTGGGGGGGATTTGGGGTCCCCCCAGTGCTGCCCTTCACCCCCCGCAACCCCCAGCAGGTACCGGGGGGGGGATTTGGGGGGTCCCGGGGGGGAATTTGGGGTCCCGGGGGGGGGATTTGGGGTCCCCCCAGTGCTGCCCTTCACCCCCCGCAGGAGCTCAGGGAGGTCGTGGGAGTTGGGGGTCCCTCTGGAGAACCCCCCCCGGGATGGTTTGGGGGCTCTGATCCCCCTCTGAAGACCCCCCTGTGACATTTTTGGGGGCTCTGGACCCCCTCCCGGCCAATTCTGGGGCTCTGATCCCCCTCTGGAGAGCCCCCCGACAATTTTGGGGCTCTGATCCCCCTCTGGAGACCCCCGTGTGACAATTCGGGGGTCTCTGAACCCCCCCATGACATTTTGGGGGGCTCTGACCCCTCTATGACATTTTGGGGGGCTCTGACCCCTCTCTGACCCCTCTATGACATTTTGGGGGTCTCTGTCCCCCTCTATGACATTTTGGGGGTCTCTGACCCCCTCTATGACATTTTGGGGGGCTCTGACCCCTCTCTGACCCCTCTATGACATTTTGGGGGTCTCTGACCCCCCCATGACATTTTTGGGGGACTCTGAACCCCCTCTGAACCCCCCATGACATTTTTGGGGGCTCTGACCCCTTTGTCCCCCCCCATGATATTTTTGGGGGCTCTGGACCCCCTCTGAACCCCCCCATGACATTTTTGGGGGGCTCTGACCCCTATATGACATTTTGGGGGGCTCTGATCCCCCTCTTAACTCCCCCGGTGACATTTCTGGGGGGCTCTGGACCCCCTCCCGGCCAATTCTGGGGGCTCTGAACCCCCTCTGAAGAACTCCCCGACAATTCTGGGGGCTCTGATCCCCCTCTGGAGACCCCCCTGTGAAAATTTGGGGGGCTCTGAACCCCCTCTGAAGAACTCCCCCATGACATTTTTGGGGGGCTCTGTCCCCCCTCTGTCCCCCCCATGACATTTTGGGGGGCTCTGACCCCCTCATGACATTTTGGGGGTCTCTGTCCCCCCCATGACATTTTTGGGGGGCTCTGACCCCCCCATGACATTTTGGGGGTCTCTGACCCCTCTGTCCCCCCCCATGACATTTTGGGGGTCTCTGCCCCCCCCATGACATTTTTGGGGGTCTCTGATCCCCCTCTGGAGACCCCCCCATGACATTTTGGGGGGCTCTGACCCCTCTATGACATTTTTGGGGGGGCTCTGATCCCCCCATGACATTTTGGGGGTCCCTGCCCCCCCCATGACATTATGGGGGTCTCTGCCCCCCCTGTCGCCCCCCCATGACATTTTGGGGGTCCCTGCCCCCCCCCATGACATTTTTGGGGGTCCCTGCCCCCCCCATGACATTTTGGGGTCCCTGCCCCCCCTGTGACACTTTGGGGGTCTCTAACCCCCCCCCTGTGACACTTTGGGGGTCCCTGTCCCCCCCATGACATTTTTGGGGGTCCCTGCCCCCCCCATGACATTTTTGGGGGTCCCTGTGCCCGCAGCTGCTGCGGAAGCGCCACATCGGCAATGACATCGTGACCATCGTGTTCCAGGAGCCGGGGGCGCGGCCCTTCTCCCCCCGCGCCCTGCGCAGCCACTTCCAGCACGTCTTCATCGTGGTGCGGGCGCACCAGCCCTGCACGCCCCGCACCAAATACAGGTACCGGGGGTCCCGGGGGTCCCGGGGGGTCCCAAATAGGGATGGGGGGGTGACACGAGGGGTCCCGGGGGTCCCCGGGGGTCCCCAGGGGTCCCAAACAGGGGTGGGGGGTGACACGAGGGGTTCTGGGGGGTCTCAAAAAGGGGTGGGGGGTGACACGAGGGGTCCCGGGGGTCTCAAATAGGGGTGGGGGGTGACACGAGGGGTTCTGGGGGTCTCTGGGGGTCCCCGGGGGGCTCAGACAGGGGTGGGGGGTGACACGAGGGGTCCCGGGGGTCTCCGGGGGTCACAAGCAGGGGTGGGGGGCTCAAACGAGGGGTCCCGGGGGTGCCCGGGGATCTCAAAGAGGGGTCGGGGGGTGACACGAGGGGTTCTGGGGGTCCCAAACAGGGGTGGGGGGCTCACACGAGGGGTCCCGGGGGTCCCTGGGGGTCCCAAACAGGGGTGGGGGATGACACGAGGGGTCCCTGGAGGTCCCCGGGGGTCCCAAAAGGGGGTGGGGGGAAGACACGAGGGGTTCTGGGGGTCCCTGTGAGGGTCCCCCCAACCCTGGGGATCCCCCCAACCCTGGGGGGGGTCTCAGCATTCCTGGGGGTCCCACAACCCTGGGGCTCCCCTCAATCCTGGGGGGGGTCCCCTCAACCCTGGGGGGTCTCAGCATTCCTGGGGGGTCCCCTCAATCCTGGGGGGTCCCCTCAATCCAGGGGCTCCCCCCATCCTGTGGTTATCTCTGCTGCTCCCCATGCCCCCCCCCCATTTCGGGGGTCCTGACCCCCCATTTTTCCCCCCGCAGCGTGGCCGTGGTGCGGCCGGAGGACACCCCGCGCTTCGGGCCGGCCGTGCCGGGGGGTCCCCGATTTTTGGGGGGCTCCGGGCTGCGCCCCTTCCTGCTGGCCGCGGCCATCAACGGCGAGAACGCGGCGGCGCGGGGGGGGCGCCTGGGGGCCATGGCGGCCCGGACCCGCCGCCTGTCCCTGCGCGAGCTGCTCCGCGCCCACCCCGCGGGACCCCCGCCCCCCGCGACCCCCCGTGGGCTCCCCACGCTCGGGGCGCTGCTCCGCGTGGGCTCCGCCGCGGGGGTCCCCCCGCCGGGGGGTGGGGCGGTGGTGGCGGGGGCGGTGGTGTGGGGGGCGCGGGTTGAGTGGGGGGGTCTTGAGGGGGGTCGTCACGAGTGGGGTGGTCACGAGTGGGGTGGTCGCGACCTGCCGTGTCTGCTCGGGGTGGCCGCGGAGAGAATCGTGGTGGTCGCGGCTCCCCCACGCGTGGGGGTCGCGGATGGGGGGGTGGGACACCCCCAAAGTGCAGCGGAGGGGTCCGAGGGGAGCCCCCAGACCCACGCGGGACCCCCCGCGGGTGGGCGGACCCTGTTCAGCTGCGCGTGTCGGGACGTGCTCGGCTGGAGCTTCTCCGAGGGGCGACTCGAGATTTTCCACGGGGAGGGAGAGTGGATCGCGCTGAGGCTCCCACGGGGAACCGCCCCGCGCGTGGTGAGCAGGCTGCAGGTGAGAACTGGGGGAACTGGGAACACTGGGGGGACTGGGAGGGACTGGGAGGGACTGGGAGGGACTGGGAGGGAACTGGGGGGGACTGGGAGGGACTGGGAGGGACTGGGAGGGACTGGGGGGGACTGGGAGGGAACTGGGGGGGACTGGGGGGACTGGGAGGGAACTGGGGGGGACTGGGAGGGACTGGGATGGACTGGGGGGAACTGGGAGGGACTGGGAGGGAACTGGGGGGGACTGGGAATGGACTGGGAAGGACTGGGAGGGACTGGGAGGGACTGGGAGTGACTGGGAATGGACTGGGGGGCACTGGGAGGGAACTGGGAGGGAACTGGGGGGGACTGGGACGGACTGGGGGGGACTGGGAGGGACTGGGAGGAACTGGGAGGGACTGGGGGGACTGGGAGGGACTGGGGGGGAACTGGGAGGGAACTGGGAGGGACTGGGGGGGACTGGGAGGGACTGGGGGGGAACTGGGAGGGAACTGGGAGGGACTGGGGGGGAACTGGGAGGGAACTGGGAGTGACTGGGAATGGACTGGGGGGGACTGGGAGGGAACTGGGAGGGACTGGGAGGGAACTGGGAGGGAACTGGGAGGGACTGGGAGCACTGGGAGAGGGACTGGGAGGGACTGGGAATGGACTGGGAGGGACTGGGAGGGACTGGGAGAGGGACTGGGACGGACTGGGGAGGACTGGGAGGGTTTGAGGGGGGTTGGAGAGTTCTGGGGAGGATTTGGGGGAGATTTGAGGGGGCTCGGGAGGGTTTTGGGGGAGGAGTTGAGGGGGCTGGGAGAGTTTTGGAGGGGTTTCAGGGAGATTTGGGGGGGCTTGGGGGGGTTTTGGGGGGATTTGAGGGGGATTGGGGGGATTGGGGGGGAATTGGGGGGATTTGAGGGGGCTTGGGGGGGATTTGGGGGTGTCTCCATGGGGGTCTCCGGGTGGCCCTGACCCGTGACTTTGGGGGGGTCTCTATGGGGGTCTCTCCCCCCCCTCACCCCTGACCCGGGGGTCTCTATGGGGGTCTCCGTGGGGGTCTCCCCCCTCCCCCTTGGCCCGGGGGGCTCTATGGGGGTCTCTATGGGGGTCTCTATGGGGGTCTCTATGGGGGTCTCTATGGGGGTTCCCCGCGGGGGTCTCTATGGGGGTCTCTATGGGGGTCTCTATGGGGGTTCTCCCCGGGGGTCTCTATGGGGGTCTCTCTGGGTGTCTCTATGGGGGTCTCCCCTCACCCCTGGCCCGGGGGTCTCTATGGGGGTCTCTGGGGGTCTCTATGGGGTCTCTATGGGGTCTCTATGGGGTCTCCCCTCCTCTCCCCCAGGCCGTGACCCGCGGCTGCGAGGCGCAGGAACTCTCTGTGCCGCGTGGGGCCGGGGGTCGCCGCGGGTTCCGCGTGGACCCCTCGGGGGTGGTGACGGCCGTGAGCCGCTTCTCGTTCGCGGAGACCGCGGGGCTGCGCCGGGGGGCGCGGCTGCTGCGGCTCGGCCGCCGCCCCCTGCCCCGCGGGGACCCCCGAGCGCTGCGGGCGCTGCTGCGGAGCCCCGCGGGACCCCTGACCCTGCTGCCCCCCGAGAGAGACGGCCGGCCCCGCCGGTCAGGGGCGGCTGGGGGGGCGGGGGGATGCGGGGGGGAATTTGGGGGGTCTGGGGGGATTTGGGGGGGGGATTTGGGGAGTCTGGGGGGAAATTTGGGGGGAATTTGGGGGGAATTTGGGGGGAATTTAGGGGGTCGGGGGGAACTTGGGGGGTTTGGGGGGGAATTTGGGGAGTCTGGGGGGGAATTTGGGGAGTTTGGGGGGGAACTTGGGGGGTTTGGGGGGGAATTTGGGGAGTCTGGGGGGGAACTTGGGGGATTTGGGGGGGAATTTGGAGGGTCTGGGGGGATTTGGGGAGTCTGGGGGGGAATTTGCGGGGGTCTGGGGAGGGTCAGTGGGGGATTTGGGGGGTTTGGGGGGATTTAGAGGGAATTTGGGGGGTCTGGGGGGATTTGGGGGGAAATTTGGGGTCCATGGGGGTCGGGGGTCCATGGGGTCTCTGGCTTTGGGGGGATTTGGGGTCCCCGGGCGGGCAGAGCCCCCCAACCCTGAGCGCCCCTCCCCCCCAGGAGCTTCTCGGAGCTGTACGCGCGCGCTCTGGAGCAGGGCCGGGGCTCGGGGGGGGACCCCCACCCTGGGGACCCCCACCCTGGGGACCCCCACCCTGGGGACCCCCACCCCGGGGGGGACATCGGGGACAGCAGCAGCGACTCGGGGGGCGACAGCGACACGGGGGAGCGCCCCAAAACCCCACCGAGCACCCCCCGCCCCCCGGACCCCAAAACCCCCGGCGGGGGCACCCCCAGACCGTGAGTGAGCCCGGAGACCCCCCCCAAAATCCCGGGGAGCCCCGAAATACCCCCGGAACCCCAAAATCCCCTGGGGAGCCCCAAAATATCCCCGGAACCCCAAAATATCCCCCGGAACCCCAAAATATCCCCCGGAACCCCAAAAAATCTCCTGGAACCCCAAATATCACCTGGGGACCCCAAAATATCCCCCGGAACCCCAAAATAGCCCCGGAACCCCAAAATATCCCCTGGAACCCCAAAATATCCCCTGGAACCCCAAAATATCCCCCGGAACCCCAAAATATCCCCCGGAACCCCAAAATATCCCCTGGGGAACCCCAAAATATCCCCTGGGACCCCAAAATATCCCCCGGAACCCCAAAATGTCCCCTGGAACCCCGAAATATCCCCGGGAACCCCAAAATATCCCCTGGGGAACCCCAAAATATCCCCCGGAACCCCCAAAATCTCCTGGGGAACCCCCAAATCCCCCCTGGGACCCCCAAATCCCCCCCGGGACCCCCAGAATTGTCCCCCCCTGTCTCAGGTCCCCTCTGGCTGACCCCACTCCGGACCTGCTGCTGCCACTCCACTGCCCCGCCCCGCCCGGGGACCCGGTGAGACCCCCCCGAGTGTCCCCAAGTGTCCCCAAGTGTCCCCAAATCCCCTCGTGTCCCCCCAAATGTCCCCAAATTGTCCCCAAGTGTCCCCAAATGTCCCCAAGTGTCCCCCAATGTCCCCCAAATCCCCCCAAATGTCCCCAATGTCCCCAAGTGTCCCCCAAATCCCCGTGTCCCCAAATGTCCCCCAATGTCCCCCAAATCCCCCCGTGTCCCCAAATGTCCCCAAGTGTCCCCAAGTGTCCCCGAGTGTCCCCAAATCCCCCCGTGTCCCCAAATGTCCCCAAATGTCCCCAAGTGTCCCCCAAATCCCCCCCTGTCCCCAAATGTCCCCAAATGTCCCCAAGTGTCCCCCCCAATGTCCCCTTTGTGTCCCCCCCCCGTGTCTCCAACGCCTTCCCATGTCCCCAAGTGTCCCCCAATGTCCCCCCCGGTGTCCCCACTGACCCCCCGCTGTCCCCAGGGTCCCCCCCCGGATCCCGACCCCGCCTCGGGTCCCGCGCGGCGACATTCCGTGGGCAGCCGTGAGTGTCCCCGTGTCACCTCCGTGTCACCTCTGTCACCCCCGTGTCACCCGTGTCCCCCCGTGTCACCCGTGTCACCCCCGTGTCACCTCCGTGTCACCCCCGTGTCACCCCGTGTCACCTCTGTCACCTCCGTGTCACCTCTGTCACCCCCGTGTCACCCGTGTCCCCCCGTGTCACCCGTGTCACCCCCGTGTCACCCGTGTCACCCCCGTGTCCCCCGTGTCACCCGTGTCACCCCCGTGTCACCCCGTGTCCCCCCCGTGTCCCCAAACCCCGTCCAGGTGTCCCCAAACCCCCTCTGGGTGTCCCCAAACCCCCCCCAGCGCTGTCCCCTCCCCCCCAGCGCTGTCCCCTCCCCCCCAGCGCTGTCCCCTCCCCCCCCAGCCCTTTCGGGGTTCGGGGACCCCCAGGATGAGGAGTGGGAGCGGATCTCGGGCCTGGCCACGGCCTGCAGGGGGGTGCTGGAGGCCATCGCCCGCGGGGGTGAGGGGGTTGGGGGATTTGGGGGGGTTTGGGGGGATTTGGGGGGGATTGGGGGGGATTTGGGGGGGATTGGGGGTCGTTTGGAGTATTTGGGTGGGTTTTGGGGGGGGTTTGGGGTGATTTGGGGGGATTTGGGTGGGGTTTGGGGGGTTTTGGGGGCTTTGGGGGGGTTTGGGGGGGCTTGGGGGAATTTGGGGGTGGTTTGGGGGATTTTGGGGGGATTTGGGGGGGCTTGGGTGGGGTTTAGGGGATTTGGGTGGGGTTTGGGGGATTTGGGGGGGATTTTGGGTGGGTTTTGGGGGGATTTGGGGGGGATTTGGGGGGGTTTGGGGGATTTTGGGGGGGATTTGGGGGGATTTGGGGGGATTTGGGTGGGGTTTGAGGAGATTTGGGTGGGGTTTGGGGGGATTTGGGGGGATTTGGGGGAGTTTTTGGGGGGCTTGGAGGGGATTTGGGTGGGTTTTGTGGGGGATTTGGGGGTCCTGGAGGCCATCGCCCAGGGGGGTGAGGGGCTTGTGGGGGTCTGGGGGAGTTTTGGGTGGGATTTGGGGGGGATTTTGGGGGTCGGGAGGGATTTGGGTGGGATTTTGGGGGGATTTTGGGGGGATTTTGGGGGGATTTTGATGATTGATCGGGGAGGAACGGGGGCATCAAAGGAATTTAAAGGATTTTGGGGGTGCTGGAACCCCCTAATTGGAGACCCCCTCCCCAAATTTCTCCCCCCCCCCCCCCCAGGGCAGCAGCTCCGGGAGCTCCCCCGGCCCGACCCGAGCCCCGCAGCGCCCGAGGAGGGGTACGGGGGGATTTGGGGGGTCCGGGGGGATTTGGGGGGTCCGGGGGGATTTGGGGGGTACGAGGGGATTTGGGGGGATTTGGGGGGATTTGGGGGATTTAGGGGGGTTTGGGGGGATTTGGGGGGATTTGGGTGGGGTTTGGAGGGATTTGGGGGGATTTGGGGGGATTTGGGGGGATTTGGGTGGGCTTGGGGGATTAGGGGAGGATTTGGGGGGGTTAGAGGGGATTAGGGTGGGGTTTGGGGGATTGGGGGGAATTTGGGGGGATTTGGGGGGGTCTGGGGGGTCTGGGGGGGTCCGGGGGGGTCCGGGGGAATTTGGGGGGGTCTGGGGGGGTCCGGGGGGGTCCGGGGGGATTTGGGGGGTCCGGGGGGATTTGGGGGGGTCCCCATGAGGGTCCCACCCCGCTGCCCCCGCAGCTCTCAGCGGCTCTCGGAGAAAGTGGCGCAGCTCGAGGCGGCGCTGAGGCGGCTGCAGGAGGTGAACTGGGGGAACTGGGAGGGACTGGGAGGGACTGGGAGGGACTGGGAGGGACTGGGAGGGACTGGGGGGGACTGGGGGGGAACTGGGAGGGACTGGGAGGGACTGGGGGGGAACTGGGAGGGACTGGGTGGGACTGGGGGGGACTGGGAGGGACTGGGGGGGACTGGGAGGGACTGGGAGGGACTGGGATGGACTGGGATGGACTGGGAGGGACTGGGAGGGACAGGGGGGGACTGGGGGGGAACTGGGGGGGTCCCGGGGGTCTCGGGGGTCTCTCGGGGGGTCCCGGGGGCCTCTGGGGGGTCCCGGGGGTCTCTGGGGGGTCTCTGGGGTGTCTCACGGGGGTCTCTGGGGGTCTCACGGGGGTCCCGGGGGTCTCACGGGGGTCTCGGGGGTCCCGCACAGGGTCACGAGGAGCAGCAGCAGCTCCGGGCTGAGCTGCGGCGGCTGCGGCGGGACCAGGAGGACACCGAGGGGCGGCACCGGGTCGAGAGACCCCCGGGGACCCCCGGAGAGACCCTGACCCCCGGAGAGACCCCCTGACCCCCCCGGGACCCCCGACAGCCCCTGAGCCCCCCCCCCGGGACCCCCTGACCCCCCCGGGGACCCCCGAGGGACCCCCGGGACCCCCGGAGAGACCCTGACCCCCCCTCGGGGACCCCCCAACTGTGAAACTGAAGCTGTGACACCCCCCCGTGCCCCCCTCCCCCACCCCGGCGTGTGACACTGGAACCCCCCCGTGTGTCCCCCCCCAAAAAAGTGACACTGGAACCCCCCCGGCAATAAAAACCCAGTTCATCCCAGTTCATCCCAGTTCATCCCAGTGCTCCCAGTATATCCCAGTCCATCCCAGTTCATCCCAGTTCATCCCAGTACATCCCAGTTCATCCCAGTTCATCCCAGTTCATCCCAGTGCTCCCAGTTCATCCCAGTTCATCCCAGTTCATCCCAGTCCATCCCAGTTCATCCCAGTGCTCCCAGTTCATCCCAGTGCTCCCAGTTCATCCCAGTTCATCCCAGTTCATCCCAGTGGTCCCAGTTCATCCCAGTATATCCCAGTATATCCCAGTGCTCCCAGTTCATCCCAGTTCACCCCAGTGCTCCCAGTCCATCCCAGTATATCCCAGTTCATCCCAGTCCATCCCAGTCCATCCCAGTCCATCCCAGTATATCCCAGTTCATCCCAGTCCATCCCAGTCCATCCCAGTCCATCCCAGTCCCTCCCAGTCCATCCCAGTCCCTCCCAGTCCATCCCAGTGCTCCCAGTCCGGGGGTGTCCGGGGCAGTTTCCCATGGGCGGGACCCCAAATTTCCGCCCCCCACTGGGCAGGGACGGCCCTGGTGGCTCCTCCCCACGGGTGACACCCATGGGTGGCCCTGGGGACACTTTGGGGACACTCGGGGACACTTTGGGGACACTCGGGGACACTCCGGGGACACTCGGGGACACTCCGGGGACACTCCGGGACACTCGAGGATATCTGGGGACACTCGGGGACACTCCGGGACACTCCGGGGACACTCGGGGACACTTTGGGGACACTCGGGGACACTCCGGGGACACTCGAGGATATCTGGGGACACTTTGGGGACACTCCGGGACACTCCGGGGACACTCGGGGACACTCGGGGACACTCCGGGGACACTCGGGGACACTTTGGGGACACTCGGGGACACTCCGGGACACTCCGGGGACACTCGGGGACACTTTGGGGACACTCCGGGGACACTCGGGGACACTCCGGGACACTCCGGGGACACTCGGGGACACTTTGGGGACACTCGGGGACACTTTGGGGACACTCCAGGATACTTTGGGACACTCGGGACACTCGGGGACACTTTGGGGACACTCGGGGACACTCCAGGACACTCCGGGGACACTCCGGGACACTCGGGGACACTCCAGGACACTTTGGGGACAATCGGAGACATTTGGGGACACTTTGGGGACACTCGGGGACACTTTGGGGACATTTGGGGACACTCGTGGCCATGGCGGGGCTGAAAACGGCCACGGGCGAAGAGATCGACGGATCGTTCGAGCTGCGCGTGGAGGTGGAGGCGGGACACGAGTGGGGACAGGGACAGGGACAGGGACACGAGTGGGGACAGGGACACGAGTGGGGACAGTGCCACCCCCGCGTCCTCACCCTCTGTGTCACCGCGGACCTGCCGATCGCGGGGCTCGTGCGGCGCCTCCTGGAAACGCTGGGTGAGTGACCACGAGTGACCAGGAGTGACCAGGAGTGACCAGGAGTGACCACGGGTGACCAGGAGTGACCACGGGTGACCAGGGGTGACCACGGGTGACCAGGAGTGACCACGGGTGACCACGGGTGACCAGGAGTGACCACGAGTGACCATTGAGTGACCACGGGTGACCACGGGTGACCAGGAGTGACCAGGAGTGACCACGGGTGACCAGGAGTGACCACGGAGTGACCATTGAGTGACCATTGAGTGACCCACGGACTGACCCACGGAGTGACCATGGACTGACCCACGGACTGACCCACGGACCGACCCACGGAGTGACCCACGGAGTGACCATTGAGTGACCCACGGGCAGCCCCATCCCCCACTCGGGACAGTTGTCCCCTCCCCCCCCCCGGGGCCGGTTTTGGGTTGGGGGAGGGGGGTGGGGGAGGGGCTCCGCTCTTATCGGGGTCCCCCCACGTCCCCCCCACGTCCCCCCCATTTCCCCCCCACTTCCCGCCCCTCCCCCACTTCCCGCCCCTCCCCCACCCCCCGGGCCGATAAGGGACCCGCGCGCTAAAAATAGCCCCGGAGCGCCCCTCCCCCCCCCAGCCCCGGATGTGGTTTGGGGGGGAGGGGAGGGGGGGGGGGGGACCCCTGGGGCACCCCCAGAGCCCCCCCAGAGCCCCCCGG